ACGAGGTATCCGTATGCTACCAGAAAGATGGGAAAAGGTAGTGGCTAGCGATGGACAATACTTCGAATAAAACATTATGTACCGTTCTTTCACAATAAATGCCCAATTTTTGATAAAAAACGGCGGAAACTTATTTATACTCCTAATATATATAATAGTTCTATATTATAATATTTTTATATAATATATCTATATATAATTTTTCTATATATAATACTGTATTTTTTACCATATAATTAAATACAAAGCTATTAGTCATACATATCAAGCAATTATGCCCAGCAAACACAAATACATAAACGTAACATCGCCGTAATAAAACAGAAAGTAACAAGTAATATAACGTGTTACATGTAACATTCACGTTAGTTGTAATTTCCTACTCATGCCAAATTGCAGTTATATAATCTGACAAGGGTAATGACGCAAGTGTCCCTCTTCAATTTTGATGAGCTTTGAGTATGTTGTAGAGTAACTAGAAATAAGAGTATTTTTTTATGTCCTTTCGCGCACGTTTAGGGGGTGACCTCTTTGACAAAAAACGGTTTTTTCTTTTTATACAAATGTTGTCAAAACGGTAAGAAATATAAAACTATATTTCAAATAAAAATTACATGTGGTCTTTTATAGACTTTATAACCGCACAGATATGTGTGTTTATTTAAACATTTTTTATTTACCTCCCCCTCCCTCACTATTTTTTCACAAATTTCAAAAGTTTTGTAAAAACAAATTGTAGCATGTGTTACGCTGAATGCAACAGTAAATACCCATACAGACTTCCATCCATCCAGACATCTATTAGACATCTATTAGATGTCGCATAGAGCTGTCGACGTCTAATAGACGTCTAATGGAGGTTTTGTTCTGTGTGGGTTAATTTATTATGTTTCAAAATTGCATTTTTCAAAAATAAACCGTCAATATCGCACTAAATACGTGGCGCTGCAAGACTCATCATTTATGTCGCGCTCTTATTGTAATAGGCAATAAAAAAACTAAAAGAATAAAAATAGTACGCCGTCACGTATTTGATAACGTTCTAATCACAGATCAAAGAGTAAACTTTACTAAAAGTATTGCTAAGGCATTCCTTCTACTGATGCTTTACACTCTTATTAATGTATTTAACAGAGATTATTTTCCCATAATAATATATTCATACTACCATGATCACAAAATAACCGGAATTTATTCATAAAAAGAAAAGTACATGTTTATTCTTTAAAATTCAAGTTGTCCCCTTCAAAGTAGTCCTTGTCGGCTGCGATGCACTTGTGCCAGCGTTTGATCCACCCCTCGAAGCTTTTCTGGAAGTCGGTTTTTGGTATAGCCATTAGTGCCACCAGCGATTTTAGCTTTATTGCCTCCACACTCTCAAAACGAGTTCCTCGTAGTGGTTTTTTGAGTCGATCGAATAGGAAGAAGTCACATGGTGCCAGATCAGGTGAATTGGGCGGTTGTTGAATAGTATTAGTGTTGTTTTTGACAAGAAACTCACGAGAATTTTTGCACGAAATTCAGTTCTTTTGGCACCAATCTCGCAGTGATTCGCCTCAGACCCAAATCCTCACGCAAAATGCTCTGAACGGATCCGAATGATATGTTGGTGGTCTCAGCTATCTCCCTTATCGTCAATTTGCGATTTTCGATCAACAATT